TTATACTCCCTTGCCTCCTTTCGGGAACATTCTCCAGCCGTCCAGAGAAGTCTCGTTTTATTTGAACGGTTTAATTGCTTTCCCGGAACGCAGGTACGACACACACGTTTACAGATACGGCGCACATGAAAAAAAGCGCCCGCGGCTAGTCGGCGAATCGATAATCCGCTCACACACACGTATGCCCGATCGCACACAATCACGCTCGTGGTCGCTACAGTATATTACGTGTTTACTATACTGTTGCATTAAGAAATTTGAAGTTGAAAGAATGAGAATCTGATTAATACGAAGGAATTCATCAATGGTCAGTTACCATGCATGCAATTGATTAATTTACAATATACAAATCCAAATCTTTAACCGAATCAACACACTCGTTGTTCTCTATTGGTAATTAAGATACATAAGACAGTGCCACCTTCAACCTAGACCTCTAAGTTTGGTTGGTTTCTGATTTCGAAGGAAAATGGAGAAGTTTGAAGTTTGCTTCTTATTGGTAGTGAATAGAGGCTTGCATGATGGTTTGTTAAAAGTATTTAAATACAAAATCCAAATGCTTTTCTGATTTGCTATTTCAAATGTTTATAAATGACTTTACTGATGTAAAACCAACACCAGTCTATTTGAACTGGTGCTTTTCTGATTTGGGTCTAAAGATCGTCGTCGGTTTTAATTGCTTCCTAACGTTTCGCAAGCAGAAATGGCGAGTTTCTTCAGAGGTCTTTCCAATGCTAGATGTCCATAGTCCACATCCAGCATCGGAGTTAGGAAGTACAACAACAACAACAACCGACGACGGCTTTTAGACCCGAATCAGAACATCAGTTCACCTTCTGAGCGCGAATGCGTCTACCAATTTACCAATCTATTGATCCATTGTAATAAGTAGAAGGAATGGAATCCATAGTTTCTTCAGTTTTACGTTCATATAATAAGGAAAGTTTTTGAAATCGCTTTTTAAGACTTTTTAATTATATCTATTAGTAGGTACACCACAATATCTTAAGTGTTTTCGTCCACAATATTTTTAATTTCCAAAGAATTCACAATTTTTTGCGCTCTCTTCAGTTGAAGTATTAGAAGAAATCCATCATAGAATGTCTCTTTAACTCCTTTTAAGTTCCTAATACCTTCAATGGCCAATGCGTTCATTTTATATGTTTGATTGGTGATAAATAGCAAAACTTTTAACGGCAAGAAAACATTTTGTATTTTGTAAATAGAAAATGGGAAAGGAAAAAGTAGAGATGCGTGTTCATCAGTCTCAGGACTGACGACCCTCTATGATAATGGTGATGATGAAATAGAAAAACGTCTACACAAGTATTTTAAATAAAATGCAAGATGCAATTCTCAAAAAAGTCTTTAAATGCAATATAGAAACAGGTGTTTTGTATTTTGTAATGATTTTCCTAATGCAATTACAGTATAAACTCTTTATAACGTCACTCGATTTAACGACAAATTCCTTAAAACGTCGAAATTGCTTGATTTTGGTTGGTTTGCATTGTTTTCTATACAATATTACACTCTATATAGCGTCACGCTCACTCTATTTAACGACAACAATGCGGCGTTATAAATCATTACGCAGTACTTTCTAAGTTGCCGAAATAGATAAGAACTGCAGCTGTGTACGTTGTTGAAGAAGACGATCCTGTCCCTCCACCAAGCATCAAACAAGCACTTGATGCAGCGAAACTATTAAAAAAATACTTTTTATATAATCAAATTGATCCAGCAGTATCTCAAGATATGAGTAAGATACGTAACAAAATACAATTAAAATATTGGAGCAGCAAAAAACATCAGACGAAGATAACAGGCTATACGCAATGTATGAATAATAATGTTCGTGTGCAAAATGTGTACTATATTGGTAAATGCATATTATTACAGAATAGTAAAATAATATCTTTTATTTCTCTTCATTTAACGACCACTCTTTATAGCGCCGAAAAATGTTCAGTCCCTTAAGTGTCGTTATAAGAGTTTTAATGCTTATTAAATAAAAGTCGTAGAAATCTCTCAATACGACCGCTAATAAAAGCGACCACAAAATAATTATTGTTATTAAAGAGAATTTATTAAAACCCATTCTCCTGCCTTGAAGCCATCACGATGTTGATCTTATCCTGATGAATCTTTGCGCGTGAATAATAATAATAATAATAACAACATTAATAATAACGCTTAGTTCCCGCTCCAGGTGATGCAGTTAAGAGAACGGAAAAAAATAGACATGTTACTTATGCTGTTAGAATCGATTTACGATTTTATAAACGTTACATTATCGTGCAGACTTTGTTAGATAACAGATTATTTCCTTTATTATTATTAGAGAACGTTTTATACATGTATTTATCTACTGTTACATTACACTTCGTATTCTACCATGCGTTCCTCTATATCACGCACGCAAGTTCTTCCAATAATAAAAATGCCACGCTAACCACGGTAAATCAATCTTAAGTATAATTAGAGATGTGCAAAATGGTTTTTACAAGTATTTAAATACAAAATGTAAATGCGTTTTTGATTTGTTATTTTAAAATGTAAAATACAAAATAGATTTCCCTATTGTGTTTTAAATGCTAAATGCAAAATACGTATTTTCAAAATAAATACTTTTTTGTAGTGTTTATTTCAATTTCTACATTTACTTGAACATAAAATATAAATAAATACCAGCTGCAAAGATTGAGTTTGATTCATATTTTTCTGTTTGAAGTGATTGAGATACAGTTTTTCTTCAGTTCAGCAACAAATAATTCTTCTGTATGCTTTCTCATTTGCCTTTGTCACCCGTTTTAATTAGAAAAAAGACACTGATGCCAAAATAGATTGTTTAGCGTGAAAGAACAGGACCAAAATAGGGTTGCATTTATTTTATTGATGTAAAATCAACATCAACCATTTTGTATCAAAATATTTACAACCCCATTTTGTTTCCGATCTTTTACGCATTGTAACAAAAGAATGAAGCGGAATCCATAATTTCTTTAGCTATCTAAAAATTGAAGTTTTTCGAATCATTTTGGATTATAGGTATTTATTAGCAACAATATCTTGTAGTTTTCAGTTTTACAGAGTTGACGAATATCAATTCGATATTCTTTTGAGGACTGTTTTATCGTAATTCTTAAAATTTCTTAGTTCCTTGCTGAAGGTACGATAAGTGGTGATTTGGTATGTGCTGATGTCAATTTGGAACTTCAAAATTCCATGGACCATGACATTGAACCCGGAAAACAATATCGATCCAATATTTTAGTCTATCCATTTCTAAGGAGTTTAGAATTTTTTGNATTCTTTTGAGGACTGTTTTATCGTAATTCTTAAAATTTCGTAGTTCCTTGCTGAAGGTACGATAAGTGGTGATTTGGCATGTGCTGATGTCAATTTGGAACTTCAAAATTCCATGGAACATGAAATTGAACCCGGAAAACAATATCGATCCAATATTTTAGTCTATCCATTTCTAAGGAGTTTAGAATTTTTTGGGCTCTCTTCAGTTAAAGAATTAGAAGGCATTTATGGATTGTCTCTTTATCCTCTTTTTAAGCTTCTAATATCTTCAATTGCCAATGTGAGCAACCTTCATTCATCATTTTATTATAGTTTGATCGGTGATACTCGCAAAGCATTTAACGGCAAAAACGTATTTTCCTTTTTACAAATAGAAAATAGGTTTGGAAAAGTATTTTAAATAAATCACATTTCTGAGTATAATACGCGTATCTCATTCCAACGTTTCGCGTCAGTTATTGCGCCAAATCCGGTATTCAAATTATCGACTGATTCGGGTTCACTTTATTATTTAAAACACAGTTGATTTAAAAACGTCATCCCACGATTAGTACAAATATGGATTATCTTTTAAACATAAAATACTGCACTTTTCAGACCGGTTTCACTGCTGCTACCTACGTGTGTTACTGTATGTAAATGAACATATCGATGAAACAGAAAATAAATGTCACATTTTAAGCTAGTTGGTTTGTAAAACACGCTTTCTGTACCGCATTAATAAATATCTACCTATCTCGTTCAAAGAATATAATAAACCATCATTATCCATTTAATGTCGCATTTCTTTTCAGTTTTATTTGCTAATACCTGTTATGTAACGTAGCATACATACATGTAATAGAAGCTTTATTTTTATTTAGTAGGTACAAAATGCAGCCATTTTTATTTATCCAGAGGTCGAAAACAAATTTACCATTTTTAAAGTTGTATTAAAAATTATGAATATCTAACATAAAAAGTTACTTTTTTGATCTTTATATGAAATTAGGAAGGCCGAGAATATGTCACACATAAATATCTAGCATTTTCTCTTTTTATATAAATTATGCAGGCATAATCTTTTGTATTAACGATCGTTACTTTTAATGTACACCCTGTATATATCTACGTACATTAAGCACATTTACTGTATAACTATATTTACAATAAGTTTGTTGTGTACATTAAAAAAAATTCCAACTACGATAGGGAACTCAACATATTTTCAAAAATCAATAACATTGATTTTTAGTTTAGACAACCGTCATAGCTATTAATTATATTTTATAATAATGTAAAAGCAAGTTCTGCAACACACTGTGACTCTCAGTTGAGAATGAAAATTATCCAACACAACATAACGTAAACAGAATGCTTAAATTCTATTGGTTAAAATCAACATAGCCGTTACTCTTCAAGAGCGCCTTTTAATCATTTTGAGACCGTGTGGCTGTTTGTAATTTTCTTTAACAATATAATTGTAGTAAATAGTGTACATTTTAGTAATAATTTAATTTTTAATTGTAAAACATAGTTTCCTAATTGATGATCTCCTATCAACATGTCTTTCCCTCGAGCAAAAATTCAACGATTTAGTTTAAAATATGCTGAACTGTTGGGTCATCAGAATGTCCCTCATATGAGGCATAAGTTGTTATTTTATAAATTATTTTTTTCTTGAGATATTTGCTTTGTTTCCTAATTAGATCCCACTCCATCCCCAGCTGATTACAATGTCGAACTCAAAAAACCATCTACTGGGGCTGTAATTCCAAAGGGGGAACGTTTTGTAGATCTTAAAAGTCCTTCCCTGTCAGACACATCAATTTCATCATCCTCAAATAACATATGCTTTCGTACAGTGAGTAAAAGTATATTTAAATATTCAGATTTTAGTTTTGAACATAGAAATTTAAATGTTTAATCAGAATCCAATTTTCATTATGAAACAAAAAATTTGTAAGTATTTATTAAAGAAAACATTAACAAGAACAATACATAAATACTACAATCATTGATTTGTATCAGAATTAAAAAGAAATTTATTTCTTAAAACTGATATGGAGTTCTGATTGAATTGATTTTTTTGTATAAATGTTTAATAAACAGAATATGTATACTTTTTGTGTCAATAGCCCAATCCTCCAAAGTCTTCAAAATCAAACAATCACCAATTTGTAAAAACAAAGTCAACTGAATTATTCAAATTCTCAGCTGAAACTGAAGCCCTCAAGGAAAAGATTGTAGAATGTAACAATAAAGATGAAACAATCAGGGAACTCACTGAACAAATAGAAGATATGAAATCACAGCTCAGTGGTTTAGAAACCTCAATTACTTTGTATAACTATGAAAAAGAAGAATGTGAAGAGAAAATTAAAGCTTTACAAAGTGAACATGAAACAACAATCAATGATTTGAAGCAAAAACATCAAGCAGAAATTGATTATTATGCTGAGAAAATACCAACAACTGAAGCAAATCTAGAAGAAATCAAAAGAAAATATGAACAACTTAAGCAAGAAAACAGAAAAGAACTTTTAACTTTGTTGAGTAACATTAATAAATTTGAGGATCTTTACAACACCTCCATGAAAAACTTTCAGAAAGAACTTAGAGAAAAAGAAGAAGAATTAGAGCAATTAAAAGATAAAATAGAAATCCTTAGGGTAACTCATGCTGAAGAAATAGAAAACCTTAATAAAGAACATGCAGAAGAACTTCAAATGGTTAAAATAGAGATGTTGAAGAATATACAAGTCATTGAAAATAAATTGGAAAAAGCTCAAGAGGAAAGCAATCGGAAGATGAAGATTTTAGAAAAATCCAAAAACGAGGAATTGCTAAATTTTAAAGAAAAATACGAAAAAGATAAACTTCGACTCAGCCACGACTATAATGCAAAAATAAGGCAAATGGAAGAAAATTACAAAGATGCAAATAAACTGTCAGAAATTCAAATGAAAGAAAGATGCCAAGAAATCGAATTCAACTTCAAGGTAAGACTTGAACAGCAACAGAAAGAAGCAGACGCAATTTTAAAGGAATGCCAAGCTATAAGCGAATACAACATCATTCAATGCGAAATAGAGAAAAGTACAATAAAAAAAGACCTGGCAGATAAAGCAGCACAATATGAAAGTCTTCTTTTAGAAAAAAATAACTTGCAACAATCCTGCAACGATCTCTCAAAACAGTGTAAAGATCTTAAACTCAAATTTGACAATGCCACTACAGAATTGGAGACTGTTAGATCACAATTACAAAATGAAATCTTAGAGCACAAGAAAAGTATAACTCAAGCAGAAAACGACAAGAAAGCTTATGAACTTGCTCTTAATAAGACTTACACAACTATAGAAGCGTTAAAAAATAGATTACTAAATTCAGATCACGACGTTGAACAACTAAAATCTGAACTAGAAAGTACAGAAGTTTCGAAATTAGAATTCGAAGGTCGTTGCAACCAGTTGCTCGCTGAATTACAATTAGTAACGAACCTTTACGAAGAAGTTGAAATTTGTAATGAAAAGACTTTGAAAATAGCAGAAGATAAAATTAAAATACTCGAAAAAGAACTTCTTAATAAAGTCGACGTCCTAAAAGACACAGCAGAAGACACACAAAAGGCGCTACTGACACAGCTGGAACAGTACAAAAATGAACTTGATGTTGCAAAAAAACATTTAAAAGAGCAAAACGAGCTTAACACAAAGGCCCAAGAACTTATACAAACCTCTTCAAAAGAATTGAACGGACTGATAGTTGAAAATGAACAACTTGAAAATGAAAACTATAAGAAACAACAGTTGATTGAAGAACTAGAAAAAAAGTACAACATATTAAAAAAAGAAAAAGAAGAAATTCTTATAAACTATGAGTGCGATAGAGACAAAATGCTACGACAAGAAATTAAACTCAAAGAAGCTGATCAAATTAAAGAAGAATTTTTAGAACAAACTAGAAGCTTTGAGGACCTTCTAAGAAAGATAAACGGTCTTGAAAGGAAGAATGAAGAATTAGAGAAAAAGGTAATCACTTACCTATTCACATTCAACTAGTTTTTCTTATTATTATATCAATATTTTTTTTTACTATCCCTCTATATAGGTCTTGGATCAAGAATCATTAATTGGACCTTTCAGAGACCAATTGGAGGCGTACGAAATGGAATACAAAGTTCTCGTGAGTCAAAAATCGAACATAGAAAACGAAGCTAAGGAAATGGGTTTAAAATATGCTGAACTGTTGGGTCATCAGAACNATATAGGTCTTGGATCAAGAATCATTAATTGGACCTTTCAGAGACCAATTGGAGGCGTACGAAATGGAATACAAAGTTCTCGTGAGTCAAAAATCGAACATAGAAAACGAAGCTAAGGAAATGGGTTTAAAATATGCTGAACTGTTGGGTCATCAGAACCAGAAGCAAAAAATCAAATATATGGTTGAACTTAAAAGGAAGAACTTTGAGCTTCAAGAAGTAAACATTTTTCTTTTTTTTTTACTTCATTCCACTTAAATGTTGTTTTTTGTTGTGAAGCAAAAAGGGGAACTGGAGAAGAAACTTCGAGCTCAAACTCGACAGATTGAGAAACTGAAACGTGACTTGGAAAAGAATTGCAAAGTGACTCCCAAAAAGATGAAGAATGGCACAGAAAACAAAGAAAATCTTCTCAGTCCATCCACAAATCATTTGGGAAGTCCTGGACCATTAAAAGAAAGAAATTAGGCTAAACTAAGGAATGCTGACTGTACTGAACCAAAAATGTATTTTATTTATACCATTAGTTATTTATTCCATTAAACATTGAGTGCACTATAATTATACATTTTGTACTTATGTTAAGCTATTACAACAGTATTTTTTTATATAAAATGAGATGTTACAGTTATAATGGAGAAAAAATCGAATTAAATATTTTTACATTTTTATAACAAAACAACATAAAAGCGCTAATAAATAGACAATGAAAATTATTTTATAATCTGATATTTTATTTCTAATTTTGCCTTGATTAAGATACTTCTTTCCTATTTTGTAAAAATCTAATTCCCTTTATCAAATATCTATGTAATTGTAATTGCAAATTGTGGCACCCAATCAAAAGGAATGATAATGTTGGGGATGTAGAACAATACGTTTGGTTACCTTAGTTTCTTATACAAAATTCACTATTTCACCTTTACCCATTACCTTTAAACACTTGGTGTTGTATAAAGTCATCCCCACTCCCTTTGAACGAAGGTAAGCTCGTAAACAGTTACATCTCCTCCATCTATGTTTCACCCCCACCTACAAACATTTCTTTAGTGTTTTACAAGGTCTTCCCCCACTCCCTTTTACCTCCTTCCTGGTTAAAGTGGTTTTTGAGATACATATTCTTTTTTTTTAATTCTGTTATGTCTAATTGTAAGCTTTTGTCTATGTATTTTTTATATTTTTAATTTTTTTACTTTTATTAAATAGTACGATTGATTGTTATGGACTNGCAGGAACAGGTTGCTGGACATTTATACTATATGAAATAATTATTAAACAACTTTCTAACAATCAGGTATATTATTTTATTTAATTTTCAAAGATCTATCACCAAATTATGTTTAATTTAACCATTTAGTATCCTGTTGTAACGTCTGATTGGTGGGAGCCAATACACTCACACCCGGATAATATTGTTAGGGGTCACGTGAAAGCTTTAGTGGCTTTAGGAACCGAGAAACAAATTTCTAATCTAGAAATCGAAAGAGGACTTAAAGAGTGTTCCTTACCCCCTAATTTTACATATAATCTTCCAAGTCAGCAGCGTACCAAGCAAAAAGAGTCTAGCCCCCTAATACATTCAGAACCTTATGAAGAAAAGTGTACTCAAACTTCTCATAGGAGTAAATTAAACGAAACTTATGAAATAATAGCAGACAGCACACCAAAAAAGTATATCACAGTGAACAAAGAAATTGAAAAAGACCCTCATCATTGTGAATGTTGTACAAAAACAAAAAAGACTGTAAAAGAAGTCCAACAAATCCAACAGGATCATTCCACAATAGGTATCAACATTTTCTATGCAAAATAGTCTGGATTATTGATTGTATTAAATACCTTTTTCTTCATTTAATTTTAACATACCTACATCACATTTTATATTGGCACAGAATGATACCAGAAACTTACAGTAAACTCGTATCTTCCAACAGAACAAAATTAAGTGACGTAATTAAATGTAAAGAGATCAAAAATTCATTTAAAAAAGCTAATAGTCGTTTTCTTTATCTTTTTGGCAGGCTGTCGTACTCACATTTATTTTATTTTATATGATAAAATAAGTTACACTTAAAAAAATAACACAAAGTTATTTGCAGCATTTTGGCAAGAATTGTACTTCACATAAATAAAAAAATAATAACTAAATGTTCACTGGCGATAAAAATACGTGTTTGTATAGATTGTGTATGTTACAACCCCTGGTGTAACGTATACAACATTTAATGCTAAATAAATAATTAAAAAAGTGTAAATTAAAAATATACCTATAACCTATGTATTAAACCTACATTGAAAAATAAAATTTCTAAACACCCTGTAAATAGTAGCAAAGTGGTGGTGGCACAAAATAAAAAATTAAAATTTTACCTACCAAAATAAGTTACAAGAAACAATCATATTACCAAATTCTCTTTAAACCACAAAATAAACAGCATCTAATTCCTTTCTTAATTAATGCATTGAGGGGGAAAAGAATATGATATGCACATCATTTAAAAACTACCTTCTTTTCTAAAATTATATTCTACTAAGGTGGATCATTACTTAAAAAAGATATCAACATTTATCTTGACTGTCCCCTTACTAGTAATAAACCAATTCATTTGAAATTTCTGTAATATTAAACAAATAATAATAGTAACTTACTAAATCTTCAGTGGCATTTGTAAAGCTTTCCGAAGGTTTCTTGTGAGGGTGGGGGGTTGTAACTACTTAAGTAAAGAGCCAACATGGACTTAATCAAGCTGCGAATATTTGGGTACAAAATCATGCTTCTTCCAAAAGTCACAATGACTGTAAGTGTCTTGGGGTAAAGCGTCCTGTTCAACCACAAGTACCCTCTTGGTTTTCTCCAGCCCTATTTTCCTATGTGTGATGAAATAATAGAAAAGCTGTTGAATAGACGAAACATATCTCCTTTGAGCCACAGTCTTAGGTTCATATCTTCCAAATATAGCATCGATGTCAGAATCGACGTCTGCAATGTCCAATTCGCCTCGTGGTTGAGACACCACGTAAAAAGTAGTGTTGGGCATTTCTTCAGTCATGTAAAATAGTGGACAAACGATGCGGATATCAGATATCATGGTCACAAGACCTCTAAATGAGGGCGGGTACAATTTAAACACTTCCTCTGTTAAATTACTGTGACCTATTTTTGATTCATTAACGTGTTTTTTGACAAGTTCTTCAGTCCAGTCGGTATATTTTAGACGTAATTTTTCGGAATATGCCGCATGGGCTGTTGTTCCAATGATTAACTGAACAGGTATGCCTTCTTCTCTACTCCAAAGGACTCTGGGACTGTCTCTTATTATATTTCCATCCATAACAAGCCATTCATGTCTTTTGGTGGGGTCTTCTGTTGGCGTTGGTAGATCAAATATTGGCTTCCGCCAAAGGTCTTCGATGTTATTTGTCAAAACTTCGGGTTCTTTTTCACGCAAGCAGTTTACAGAATCGCACGAAATTGCCTCCAGATAACTGCTGCTTCCCCTTTCTGATTCGGATAACGTTTTGGTCGGGAATATGGTGGATCCAGAAGACGCCCAAGCTTGTTTGAAAAGGAGCTTGGCATCCTTGGTTGTTGCTAAGGCAGTTACTAAAGTAGCGCCAGCACGATGGCCGAAAAGAGTTACAGAATTTTTGTCTCCTCCAAAATGCTCTATGTTTAATTGGACCCATTTCAAAGCCTCCACAATATCGGAAAGACCATAATTACCACTAGTTGGGGGATGTACAGATTTAGTTAACACATTAGCTGCAAGAAAGCCCAGCGCTCCAAGTCTAAAATTTGGTCTTACGTAAACCACATCTTTCGATCTGGCGAATCTTGCTGAAGGTCTCATTTTCCCAGGACTTCCGCCCATCAAAGTTTCTGCCCCAATAAGGACGATTACAGGAAGAGGAGTGTCGTAACGGACATCCGGGGTTACCACATCAAGGGTTAGACAATCTTCTTCTCCAACTGCTGTACCATTGCTGTACAGTTGGAAGCAGGTATTTGTGGAATTGTATGCTTGAAAAGGTTCAGTAAAATTCCAACAATATGCTAAATCATTTAAGGGTTGGGCTGGTTTGAATCGAAGATCGTTTAGTGGTGGACGGGCGTATGGTATTCCCCGAAAAGCGACAGCACCATCGTCCAATAATCTTTATAAAAATAAAAAAAAAAAACATGTATTACTTATAAGTACGGTTACCCTCCCTATTAGTTTGCTTGGTATTACCCTTCAACTTTGCCACAACTGGTAATGGTTTGGACGTATTTACCATTTCTGATTACCGATGTAAGTCGAGATTTACCTGGTATTGCAAAGGCCACGATAATTATTACCAGTAATATAAATACCAGTAAGGCACCTAAAATAAAAATTGTTGATCAATCAAGTCAAATATCCCAAACTTTTGTACGACTTACTGATAACAATTCGATAAGCCTTCAGTTTTTGTCTCCATGTTTGGTCGTTTTCTTGTTTCTCTAAATTTTTCTTGTCCTAAATAAAAATTGATTATGTTCATAAATTATAAACGCATGTAAAATATATGGCTCAACTCACGTCTAAAGGAATACTCTTCAATTCCTCTTCTTTCTTCTCAGTATCATCGAGAGTTTCTACCGAAGCTAGACCAGCTTTTCCGGATCGGCTTTCTAATTTCTGTTCATCTCTTTTCTTACGAGGACAAACAGAAACAAGAGGTAGGCGAATTGATTGTAGCAGTCTTTTTTTCTCCTTTGGTTCACTTCCACCAGAAACTAAACATTGAAATATTTAAAAAACGTGAACGTTTCAGGAAAAGTATATCAATCGACCGTTTCAGAAATTTCGCACCAAATTCAAAGGTAGGTTTACTTTTTGCATTTAAAGTGAATTTTACTTAATAAGTAATACACAAACCATCTTCTTCACTTAGCGCCTTCGATTTCCGGAATGGGTTGGGAAGTTTAATTCTTGTTGGTTGAATTTGTTCATCTTTACTTTCTTTTTCTTTAGAGTCCAGCAATTCTGTACCCTCTATCTCAGCGTCACCATCCTAACATACATTTTAGTCAATAATTAAACAATTTTTACAAATAATTATTGATTTATCGCAATATCTTTAGATGTCTAACAAAAGAGGAACAAGATGCGTTTGATTGAAAAGTATATCATTCAGACTTTAAAGCTTTCACAGCTCACTCTCGATTTCTTTGATACAAATTAATCCAATTGGCGTAAATAAAAAGACAATTCTTTAACATTTATATGAGTTTAAAATTGCTGCTTTTAAGGAAAAACATTTTGTAGATACCTTGCACTTTTCTTTGGATTTGCTTCTGGTAAAAAATCCAGGCATTTGAATGCCGCCGATGGGAATCTTTTTGGGCTGAACTTCCCTCCCTTCCGTTTTGATAATTTTAGATGTCTCTTTTTCGCCATCTTTTCCAACACTTTGTTCCACTTCGGCTATCACATCGTGGGCTTTATTTTCCTCATTCAACATTTTTTCCTTCTCCTCCATTTCAATCACCTTTTTATCATCACTTTTACTTTTTTCGTCAATTTCACTCATGATAATTAGTTAATGATGACCTTACCAACTAATCTTTATAAAATAACAATTAGACCGGCACTTTTTTCTAATGTTTCTCAATATTTGAAACTAATCTTTAATTCAGCAAACAGTTTTACATTGTTTTCTCATATACCGGCAAAACTATGACCGAACATATTGATTTCTTATTATGATGATAGATAGATACATACAACACAAAGGATGGATCGCGCAATGCACAAAAAACAAATATCGCGCTAGGAGGTACTCCGAGGAAATTTGATGGAGAACATAATGCTGAAATTAGACCGGAAAATATTTTTGGATTATTGCTGAGCGGTACAAACGTTCCTTTAGATTTAACACTGAAGAGAGTAAAATAGACGCCAAAGGCAAAACGGCACAAACAAACAAAAAGGATTTAAACCCCTGCTCACCCTTCACCTCCCTTCACCTTCGACTACGAATGGCTACGCCCCTCAGCAAAACTTCTTTGACTGCTAGGTATATACTATATAATAGTAGAAGATCTGGAGGCGACAAGCGCCAACCCCAAAATTAAAATCTACGCAGCTACGCACACATTCGAACCGTTTTGAAACACCTCAAACCCGATTGTTAGACATAGAAATGTGCATCTATCTATAATAAATTCTTTTCATCTTTATACGTACAAACATATACTATCCACATTAGTAATAATGTGAACGTTTCGATCATCTATACATGTAGCATGTACTCATACACATTATAATTATCTTTCTGGTATGCTGAGGAATTAAAGCAGAACAAACCGTTAAAGTTATAATTGTTAAAAGAGAGGGGATAGTTAAAAAACCAAGTCAACGCTCTCTCCAAAGCGTTTTCATGGCTATAAAAAAGGACAACGATGAGTAACGAAGAATGGTCTATTTACAGATTTGAACCTACTGGTGCAGTTTAAATAATTATGAGCGACAATTATGAGACATTTTAGCTTCTTTGTTTAATTCCTATTTTTATTTCACTTATTATTCAAAAAATAATTAAAAAGCCAAATATATGAATAAAACATTTTTTGTGAAGTTGTTCCACCTTTCTTATTCCAAATATGCATTAAGTTATTAAAAATTACAATAAAAAATTAAAAATAATAATCACCTCATAATTAGTTTAATGCAAGTAGAGTAACTTTTTCACAAGTATGTGAATGTTTTAACACCCACCACATTTTTAATTTTGAAACTCTTTGAACATTTTTAGAGTGCTTCAAAAATAATATACAAGCATTTATTTATATANAATTCAAGATAGTTATCGCAATAACGTTTCAAAATATTTAAAGTATATTGATTGTGTAAAAGTTACGGTTCATAGTTTGGTGTTAAATCAAGATGGTATTCGAAAACTAACAAATAGTCAAGTGAATTTGAAAAACCGTGTTACAGCTGGTATTTCAACTACATATTTTGTTGAATATAATATTCCTAATGCTCTAAAATCTTCTACTCATATAAAATCAAGAACTGGTTCTAGAATTGACCCGTCTGTTGTTAGAATTTGTGCCAAAAAATTAAATGAAGATGGTATGTAGATATATTGCTCATTTGTTTAATTTCTTATTTTATTTTTTACATTATTTATAGGAATTAATTTTAAACAATCCCATGTTCATGATGTGATAAATCTTAACGAAGTAAATTTAAAAGCAATTGATTTAAAATTTAAAGTAAGTAGTAGATCACCTAACCAAAAACTTTCCTGCATTTTGGGGACTGCAGTTTTCAATTTGGGTTTGTTAGAGATTTCTAAAAATTTATCATGTACCCAAGATTTGCCTATTAACGGCGAAATTCCTATTAATGTGGGCTATTTGAATGTATCTATTCAATTTGGTTGTGGTCGACTCTATTTTGGTAAAGAATTTATAGGTAATTTATTTGTTTTGTTATTTTATTCGAGTAAATTAAAAAAAAAAAATATTCTACAGATGCTGTCACCATTAATAGCGCAAAAGAAACTCACGTTGTTTATGCCAGTGAAGATGACGAATCACTTAAAGAAAATAAATCAGTGTCTAATATTATAAGTGAAGAAGTTACCAACAAATTTACTAATAAGACTAGTAACAGAGTAGCAAGTAAAGGAAACACAGAAAGGGAACCTGAGCAATATTCTCTTAAAGAAAATAAAAAAAAAGTAAAATCATTACAAGAGTCACAAAAAAATATTAAAAAAAGTCAAGAAGATGAAAAGAAGGAGTCTAATAGATCCAGTACAAATAGAAGTGTAATAGGACAACAGCAAAAAACAAATTCTGCAAGAGGTTTTATTTCTAAGGGACAGGTAAAAAATACTTTTGAGTTTTATTTAATTAGATTATGTTTTGTTGCTTTTTATAGGGTCTTCTTTTACATGGTTTTATTTACATATCTGAGGTTCAATATTTGCTTAATGATCCCATAAATTCTTATATTGCTTGTTATCCTTTTGCCCAAGAAGATCGAATTATTAGTAGAACTGTCTACAGAAGTTTAAATCCTGTTTTTAATTTTTACCAGGTATCTGTAAAATACACTACATACAGAGGTGCAACTTGTCTCCATTTTTTAGCTGAACTTCTCTTTAATCTCTTTTTCCAAAAGTGTTCCTCTATTTTGGTTTTCCCAGCCTTTTTTTACACCTTTTCTCATTTTTATCCATTTTTTTAATGTCTACAAAAAATGGGGGTTGCATCTCTGTAATGACATTTAATTTGTGAAAAAGTTAATTTTAGTTAAAAAATTTTTAGAAGCTTCCTTTTTTGCTGGAAGACGATTTTTTATTATCACTCAGGAATAATTTTATGTTGGTAGAATTTTGGCAAAGAAATGGTGAAGACAGTTTGATAGGAACTGCAAAACTTCCTCTTCATCAGCTTTTCATTTGCTATAGACATGCCGATATTATTAAACAACTTTCTAACAATCAGGTATATTATTTTATTTAATTTTCAAAGATCTATCACCAAATTATGTTTAATTTAACCATTTAGTATCCTGTTGTAACGTCTGATTGGTGGGAGCCAATACACTCACACCCGGATAATATTGTTAGGGGTCACGTGAAAGCTTTAGTGGCTTTAGGAACCGAGAAACAAATTTCTAATCTAGAAATCGAAAGAGGACTTAAAGAGTGTTCCTTACCCCCTAATTTTACATATAATCTTCCAAGTCAGCAGCGTACCAAGCAAAAAGAGTCTAGCCCCCTAATACATTCAGAACCTTATGAAGAAAAGTGTACTCAAACTTCTCATAGGAGTAAATTAAACGAAACTTATGAAATAATAGCAGACAGCACACCAAAAAAGTATATCACAGTGAACAAAGAAATTGAAAAAGACCCTCATCATTGTGAATGTTGTACAAAAACAAAAAAGACTGTAAAAGAAGTCCAACAAATCCAACAGGATCATTCCACAATAGGTATTAATACTGATCCTCAAAAGTTTGACGCTGGAATACAAGTTGACCCTGCACCTTCAAAAATGGAATCGAATAGTAAGGGTGATCCTGTGAATAAGACGCATGAGATGCTAGGAGAATTCCTTAGTCAACTGATGGAACAAAGGAATAAAGTATCTAAAGATACAGCTACAAATACCGATAATATTCCCAGAGAGAGTGTTCGTGATAACAGTCAAAGACTACCATTATTAAACAATATAAGTCCAACAGTCCCAATATCTAATACATCGGCTTATTTTGACCAAATCGAAAATAATATTTATAAAAATACAACAAATTTACACTTGAGAAGTACATCTGATTTGCTTGATTCTCTACATGAAGCATTAAAAGTTGAAGTAGAAGAAACCCCATTAAATAATGAGATTCCTGTGAGAGATGTACAAGATAAACTTTATTTTAAAACTCGCATATTGGTAGAAGAAGCCCTTCACTTGCCCATGAGAAAGAAATGCAGATCAAGGAAGAATAAAAAGAAGCATGCTAATAACGAAATTGCTCTTCCGAGTCATTATGTGACTTTTGAAGTCGAACCTAATGCACAATTAAAAATTACACCTGTGGAATTCAAAACTACCAATCCACGATGGGATTTCAAATGCGAGGTCTTTTTACCATCAGAACTACTCACAAACGTAAATTATATTAATAAATTGTTTAGTGCAATTTTTTTATTCAAAAAATTAATTTCTTTTAGAGCCAGAAAAGATTGATTTTTAAAGTATGGCGTCAAAATGGCGCTCCCACAGCTCAACAAAACTTACATACCGATGGAGTTGTTGGTTTTGCGGCGGTAGATTTGACAGTACTTTTGGCTGGTCTTCCTTTTGTTCAAGGGTGGTTCAATATTATCGACTTTTCAGGAAAATGCAATGGACAAATTAAGGTAAGATCCTTCATTTAATATTTTTTTTTTTAGTAAACAGCTGTACTTTTCTCACAACTTAGATATGCGTTACGCCATTGGAATCGATTACGCGATTTACAAGAACTCAGATTTCCAATTCTTCGAAACCTACAGTTCCCAAATCAATTACTCTTCCAAAACCTGCCCCACCCCCTCCCCAAGAACCCAGTGAGTTGTTAAATAACGCACTTAAAAGAAAGTTTCAAGAACTGGAAGAAATCAATCAACGTTTGCGATCGCGACTTGCAAACGTTATTCAAGAAGATTCAGATTCAAATGACGACTTCTCTGAAGCATTTGAGTCTGATATTAATATGCTTTGCGTAGAAGATGACTTTGACACTATCGACTTCGATAAATTGGAAAAACAGAAGAAACATAAAAATAGCAATCTTTTGCTTCAACTTGAAGACAATCCAGAAGGAGCAAAACACCTCACGCCCTTCAAATTGGGCACAGATCCAAACAAAAGTGATGCAGATTTTAGATCTGCTTCCAAGAAAATGAAACAGAAAGTTTTTGCCCCACTGCTTGTTGATGTTGCAGCAGGTGGAGATGGCGTTGATACAAAAGGCGAGGCAATCAACGAAAACGATGCTACCAAGGGTTCCATACCGCTTTCAGAGAGTTTAGCATCGTTGGACCAACAACTTCAACAAGGAAAAGAACGAGTTGATAATCTCCTACATAAAATCTCCTTGATTGCTGGAAACAATGTTTTCGCTGCGTCGAAAAGTTTTGAAACAAATTCCGACTTCCCCTTTAGCAGTCGTTATGTTTCTGGTTGTTCTGTTAGCCAAACTAGTGATCATCAGACAGATCCTACCATAGAAAATAGAGGACCCAATTTCGTCGATGCTTCGTTTGATACTGTTATGTTTGAAAAGCTCTGCAGTGTATCTGCAAACTCCAGCTCTGCTTCTTTGAATGAGGAAAGTGCTCAGTCTTGCGCAACTACAGGAACCAGTGTAAGTGATTCTTCCTTGAATAGACCTGCACCAGACGGAGCTGGTAGCAGCATTGCTCCTAAAAGTTTCACTGCAAATACTACTAAATAATTAGCATCGATATCTTTAGATATAGACTTTAAAGGGCACATGGGTACCTGTTTGTCTCATAAAACGTAATAAGGCCGTTTTTTTCCTTTTTTCTATTTAGAAATCCTCTATGTACTAATTTATACGCTTAAAAAGTTTTTTAACGTTATAAACTGTTTTAAACTTATGTAGAGTATGGTAGTAATAAAGAAAAAAATGCATATATTGTTACTTTATTGATATTTGCAATTTTAAACTATAATCTGGCGTGCTGATTAAATCATGTATTTCTTCAAATAGTTTTCAATTCGTAATTTTTCGTTAAGCTTATTTCTCTCCCATTGAAATATTTTTGCTGTCGTTCCCTGGTGATCATGTACAAAGGTACAAGTTCGCATTCTCTGAAAGGTATTAACAGTGTATCGATATTTATTTTATAAATATTGCATTATTACTTTAAATTTCCTAAGTTCACTCGACTTATACATTTCCCTCTCAAGTCTTTCTTCTTCCATACAAAAGTGACAGAGAAATATTGTATAATCTTGATGCCAGTAATCGTAGTTGCAAACTTTACTGCATTTGATACAAACATCACAGGGTTTATTTAAACATTTCACTTCGTATGCTGGTTCAACAGTGGGTCTTCCAAAGTTGTTTTGTAAACCTGTTCTTCTACATTTTTTCGCATCAGGGTCGTAAGTGCCTGGCCTAATGTATGTATGTTATAAGGAGCTGTATACATAAGGAGATAAAGACCAAAGGGTGATGACATACCCTCCCCCCTCCCTAAGAATTACCCAGATATTATAAGAAAATGGGATCATTCAAGACTTAAACACACTAAGAAAAAAATTTTTTTTATTCTATTCATTTTTGCTAACAATGCAGGAACAGGTTGCTGGACATTTATACTATATGAAATAAAAACAAAGTTATCCATTTACCATTATATCTTAATTGACCTAGTATAACGTTTGATAAAATTATATTATGATTATGAATATTATTTACTGAAAGGAAATATAAAAATGTTCATGTCTTATCCTCTGTGAAGGAGGGAGAGGTGGAATTTTCATGTTTGATAATATTTGAATTGATCCCAAATTCGAAGTTGATAAAAAAGAAAGTGTAATTATTAATAAAAAATAAAAAAATACACACCCTGGTGCGTCTGATTCATCTATGGTTTTTCGTAATTTGTTGGAATTAAAAGGTGCCTTGTTCTTCCTAAAAATTCGTTTTTGTAATAGCTCGTATCTTGTGGGTGATGGATTTCTGTTACGTTTATATATCATTCGTGGTCCCCGACTTGCAAGTCCACTAACACCTCTGTTACTTCTAACCTGTGAAAAGCGAAAAATAAATTCTTAATATTATAAAAAATAACGTTACCTTATTCTGGATCAAATACACTCCCGATGTTAAATGTTCCAGGTTGTATGTTTGTGGGGTAAGCTTAGTTAATATTTCAGCATTGCCATAGCGCTTTTGAAAAGAACTAAGGTTTTTTCCAATAGGGTTTGTATCCCGGGGAATTTTAGAACCAAAGCAGATGGGATTTTGGATAACTCGCTGGACCACATATGGAAATTCCCCCTCTATTTTTAAACGTATCTTTTAAATTACAGTCTTAAATATTGTTTTAACACTGTAGTACATTTACCTTCACCACTCTCTACATCGTCCATTTTTCCTAATTATAAAATTAATAAGACAGTTAAGCATCAAATAATTTTTTTAAATAGTAAAAGACATCATTCAGGTTGCTATGAAAGTGAACAAATGGCATAGTTATACACAAGAATTCCTTTTGTTACATAAATCGACTTTCTTGCGTGTTTAAATGAAATACAAGACGGATGTGTTCTACTAAATTTCGTGACTTCGCTTGTCATGAAAAAACACTAAAAATCAGTTTTAGTATTGGCAAATTCAATATCGGAAGTAACTATAAATACATATACGTACCACCCTTTGATAAAAAGCAAGGAAATGTCACATTACTCATAGTACAGTACAGTACAATATTTTTAAAAAGTATCTTAAAATTCTAATTTAAAGTACCTTTTCCTATAATTCAATTACACACTAATGTGCAATTTCATTTCCTATTACTTTTACCTTTCAGCATAAATGATACTAAGAATATTATTGAATTTAAAATTATAATTCTGTCATTACAGCAACATCTTTGTAGTGTTTTTAGTATTTATACATAAAACTTGGTGACATTAATTACCGAGAGTAAAATAACTTGTAATAAGGGTACCTACTGTAGTCGTTCTATGGGTTAATGACATTAATAATTATTACTGATTTATTAATTTATTCAAATTGGGTGAAAAAACATTGGGTGCTGTGTTCAGTGTTTATATTTTTGCGACCAAGTTGATGTTGCGTGTATCCTGTTGGTAAGTTCTTTTATGTACGTATTTTTTCTTTTTGGTAATTTTAATTATCTCATAATGCAGAGAAAGGTATTTAATATACATGATCAAATGTTTGTTTCTGAGAAAAGTTTATTNCTTCAAAAATAATATACAAGCATTTCGTTTATGAAATTAATAAAGAAAAACTTATGATAAACTAAAACAATACAGCACAAAAAAATAATGAGAATGAAGTTTTAATCACCCAGTACATCAAAATATTTCGTTGAAATTTTTTACATGTGGTGGCAGCACCATGCAGGGGCAAATAAAAATAATAAATTTAAATTTTGGAGGTTAGTTTGTTTATGTATGTAAATTTATGTTAAAGAGTTGTAACGTACAAGAAACGATAATATAATGGTCTACAAACTAAAATTTCCAATTTTTGTGCAAAAATATAATGTCCGAGTTTTCCTATGAAAGTAAAGATAGAGAGAGAGTTACGAATGAAGTATTAAAACGGGTACAGAGGTTAAGAAACCAAATTGTCGAATCTATTTTAGACAACAATCCTTTTGATGTTGACTTTATATGTCCAAAATCAAAAAAGGAAAATATTGAGCACAACGCAAACATTGAACACCGCGTAGAGTATTCACATGGTGGAAGTAGTACAATTCCCAGTGGAGTAAATTTTTTTGATTCAACCTCCAGAACAAATACTTCTGAAGGAACTAAAGCATCCAATGTATGTCTCCCCCTCGATTTATTTTGTACTTGTGAAATTTGTGAAACGTATACCAAGGAATGTCTCAAATTAAAACATGATTCTGAATGCGCAAAGGAGCCACCTATCAGAAGACTGAAACATAAAAGTCCTCCAGAAAATCCTTATGCTAAAGAGATTACAAAGAAAATTCAAGATAGTTATCGCAATAACGTTTCAAAATATTTAAAGTATATTGATTGTGTAAAAGTTACGGTTCATAGTTTGGTGTTAAATCAAGATGGTATTCGAAAACTAACAAATAGTCAAGTGAATTTGAAAAACCGTGTTACAGCTGGTATTTCAACTACATATTTTGTTGAATATAATATTCCTAATGCTCTAAAATCTTCTACTCATATAAAATCAAGAACTGGTTCTAGAATTGACCCGTCTGTTGTTAGAATTTGTGCCAAAAAATTAAATGAAGATGGTATGTAGATATATTGCTCATTTGTTTAATTTCTTATTTTATTTTTTACATTATTTATAGGAATTAATTTTAAACAATCCCATGTTCATGATGTGATAAATCTTAACGAAGTAAATTTAAAAGCAATTGATTTAAAATTTAAAGTAAGTAGTAGATCACCTAACCAAAAACTTTCCTGCATTTTGGGGACTGCAGTTTTCAATTTGGGTTTGTTAGAGATTTCTAAAAATTTATCATGTACCCAAGATTTGCCTATTAACGGCGAAATTCCTATTAATGTGGGCTATTTGAATGTATCTATTCAATTTGGTTGTGGTCGACTCTATTTTGGTAAAGAATTTATAGGTAATTTATTTGTTTTGTTATTTTATTCGAGTAAATTAAAAAAAAAAAATATTCTACAGATGCTGTCACCATTAATAGCGCAAAAGAAACTCACGTTGTTTATGCCAGTGAAGATGACGAATCACTTAAAGAAAATAAATCAGTGTCTAATATTATAAGTGAAGAAGTTACCAACAAATTTACTAATAAGACTAGTAACAGAGTAGCAAGTAAAGGAAACACAGAAAGGGAACCTGAGCAATATTCTCTTAAAGAAAATAAAAAAAAAGTAAAATCATTACAAGAGTCACAAAAAAATATTAAAAAAAGTCAAGAAGATGAAAAGAAGGAGTCTAATAGATCCAGTACAAATAGAAGTGTAATAGGACAACAGCAAAAAACAAATTCTGCAAGAGGTTTTATTTCTAAGGGACAGGTAAAAAATACTTTTGAGTTTTATTTAATTAGATTATGTTTTGTTGCTTTTTATAGGGTCTTCTTTTACATGGTTTTATTTACATATCTGAGGTTCAATATTTGCTTAATGATCCCATAAATTCTTATATTGCTTGTTATCCTTTTGCCCAAGAAGATCGAATTATTAGTAGAACTGTCTACAGAAGTTTAAATCCTGTTTTTAATTTTTACCAGGTATCTGTAAAATACACTACATACAGAGGTGCAACTTGTCTCCATTTTTTAGCTGAACTTCTCTTTAATCTCTTTTTCCAAAAGTGTTCCTCTATTTTGGTTTTCCCAGCCTTTTTTTACACCTTTTCTCATTTTTATCCATTTTTTTAATGTCTACAAAAAATGGGGGTTGCATCTCTGTAATGACATTTAATTTGTGAAAAAGTTAATTTTAGTTAAAAAATTTTTAGAAGCTTCCTTTTTTGCTGGAAGACGATTTTTTATTATCACTCAGGAATAATTTTATGTTGGTAGAATTTTGGCAAAGAAATGGTGAAGACAGTTTGATAGGAACTGCAAAACTTCCTCTTCATCAGCTTTTCATTTGCTATAGACATGCCGATATTATTAAACAACTTTCTAACAATCAGGTATATTATTTTATTTAATTTTCAAAGATCTATCACCAAATTATGTTTAATTTAACCATTTAGTATCCTGTTGTAACGTCTGATTGGTGGGAGCCAATACACTCACACCCGGATAATATTGTTAGGGGTCACGTGAAAGCTTTAGTGGCTTTAGGAACCGAGAAACAAATTTCTAATCTAGAAATCGAAAGAGGACTTAAAGAGTGTTCCTTACCCCCTAATTTTACATATAATCTTCCAAGTCAGCAGCGTACCAAGCAAAAAGAGTCTAGCCCCCTAATACATTCAGAACCTTATGAAGAAAAGTGTACTCAAACTTCTCATAGGAGTAAATTAAACGAAACTTATGAAATAATAGCAGACAGCACACCAAAAAAGTATATCACAGTGAACAAAGAAATTGAAAAAGACCCTCATCATTGTGAATGTTGTACAAAAACAAAAAAGACTGTAAAAGAAGTCCAACAAATCCAACAGGATCATTCCACAATAGGTATTAATACTGATCCTCAAAAGTTTGACGCTGGAATACAAGTTGACCCTGCACCTTCAAAAATGGAATCGAATAGTAAGGGTGATCCTGTGAATAAGACGCATGAGATGCTAGGAGAATTCCTTAGTCAACTGATGGAACAAAGGAATAAAGTATCTAAAGATACAGCTACAAATACCGATAATATTCCCAGAGAGAGTGTTCGTGATAACAGTCAAAGACTACCATTATTAAACAATATAAGTCCAACAGTCCCAATATCTAATACATCGGCTTATTTTGACCAAATCGAAAATAATATTTATAAAAATACAACAAATTTACACTTGAGAAGTACATCTGATTTGCTTGATTCTCTACATGAAGCATTAAAAGTTGAAGTAGAAGAAACCCCATTAAATAATGAGATTCCTGTGAGAGATGTACAAGATAAACTTTATTTTAAAACTCGCATATTGGTAGAAGAAGCCCTTCACTTGCCCATGAGAAAGAAATGCAGATCAAGGAAGAATAAAAAGAAGCATGCTAATAACGAAATTGCTCTTCCGCGTCATTATGTGACTTTTGAAGTCGAACCTAATGCACAATTAAAAATTACACCTGTGGAATTCAAAACTACCAATCCACGATGGGATTTCAAATGCGAGGTCTTTTTACCATCAGAACTACTCACAAACGTAAATTATATTAATAAATTGTTTAGTGCAATTTTTTTATTCAAAAAATTAATTTCTTTTAGAGCCAGAAAAGATTGATTTTTAAAGTATGGCGTCAAAATGGCGCTCCCACAGCTCAACAAAACTTACATACCGATGGAGTTGTTGGTTTTGCGGCGGTAGATTTGACAGTACTTTTGGCTGGTCTTCCTTTTGTTCAAGGGTGGTTCAATATTATCGACTTTTCAGGAAAATGCAATGGACAAATTAAGGTAAGATCCTTCATTTAATATTTTTTTTTTTAGTAAACAGCTGTACTTTTCTCACAACTTAGATATGCGTTACGCCATTGGAATCGATTACGCGATTTACAAGAACTCAGATTTCCAATTCTTCGAAACCTACAGTTCCCAAATCAATTACTCTTCCAAAACCTGCCCCACCCCCTCCCCAAGAACCCAGTGAGTTGTTAAATAACGCACTTAAAAGAAAGTTTCAAGAACTGGAAGAAATCAATCAACGTTTGCGATCGCGACTTGCAAACGTTATTCAAGAAGATTCAGATTCAAATGACGACTTCTCTGAAGCATTTGAGTCTGATATTAATATGCTTTGCGTAGAAGATGACTTTGACACTATCGACTTCGATAAATTGGAAAAACAGAAGAAACATAAAAATAGCAATCTTTTGCTTCAACTTGAAGACAATCCAGAAGGAGCAAAACACCTCACGCCCTTCAAATTGGGCACAGATCCAAACAAAAGTGATGCAGATTTTAGATCTGCTTCCAAGAAAATGAAACAGAAAGTTTTTGCCCCACTGCTTGTTGATGTTGCAGCAGGTGGAGATGGCGTTGATACAAAAGGCGAGGCAATCAACGAAAACGATGCTACCAAGGGTTCCATACCGCTTTCAGAGAGTTTAGCATCGTTGGACCAACAACTTCAACAAGGAAAAGAACGAGTTGATAATCTCCTACATAAAATCTCCTTGATTGCTGGAAACAATGTTTTCGCTGCGTCGAAAAGTTTTGAAACAAATTCCGACTTCCCCTTTAGCAGTCGTTATGTTTCTGGTTGTTCTGTTAGCCAAACTAGTGATCATCAGACAGATCCTACCATAGAAAATAGAGGACCCAATTTCGTCGATGCTTCGTTTGATACTGTTATGTTTGAAAAGCTCTGCAGTGTATCTGCAAACTCCAGCTCTGCTTCTTTGAATGAGGAAAGTGCTCAGTCTTGCGCAACTACAGGAACCAGTGTAAGTGATTCTTCCTTGAATAGACCTGCACCAGACGGAGCTGGTAGCAGCATTGCTCCTAAAAGTTTCACTGCAAATACTACTAAATAATTAGCATCGATATCTTTAGATATAGACTTTAAAGGGCACATGGGTACCTGTTTGTCTCATAAAACGTAATAAGGCCGTTTTTTTCCTTTTTTCTATTTAGAAATCCTCTATGTACTAATTTATACGCTTAAAAAGTTTTTTAACGTTATAAACTGTTTTAAACTTATGTAGAGTATGGTAGTAATAAAGAAAAAAATGCATATATTGTTACTTTATTGATATTTGCAATTTTAAACTATAATCTGGCGTGCTGATTAAATCATGTATTTCTTCAAATAGTTTTCAATTCGTAATTTTTCGTTAAGCTTATTTCTCTCCCATTGAAAT